GGCCACGGCGACGCCATGCACGGCGACGAGAGCGTCAGGACATAGACCGTGTACTTGGCGTGTTTGCCGCGCTCGGTGAAGAACTGCAGCGGGCGGCTTTGGATGGTGACGTCGTCGAGGACCATGGTATGGAGGAGCGCTGAGAAAAGAAAAAGTGACGAATGCGAGAGATCCACCGAGCGCCTTGGACTGACCACTCTGCAACGGCGGGGTCGAAAACATGTACATGCAGAAACGAATGGCGCCAAGAAAGAAGATAGCGTCAGTCACAGTGCACCCGGCGCCGCGCTGTCTCCTAGTCCCCACTGCCATACGTAGTAGGCCACTACAGTGTACTACCAAGTACAGCGACGGCCCTCGGCGACCGGCGACGGCGGGACGCTACCATACGGACGCAACGCACGTTACATTTCTGGGCACTTGGTGGGACGCCACGTCATTCGCCTGCGGTTTGGGTGGCTGCACTGACCTTCAAGCCGGTCTGCGACATTCAAAATCGTATTTATCGGAAATTTCACGTCGACCGACTCTAGCTTGGAATGTCCAAAACTGAACTCAAGGGGTCGCATTGGGCCGTCGCCATTTAGTTGGACTAGGGCAAAACGTGCGTACCGCCGCACTCTAGGCCACGCTATTATAGGAACAAGCGAGCAATGCATTCTTGAAGGTTCGCGTTTTTACAACCCTGGACATCACCGTTCCAGGACATGGACAGGTCCAATATGAATCCGATAAGAATGGTTTTGATTTTCCAGTCCAGTCGAAACATCCGATCGAGCAAGTCGTGCGACTTGACTGCGTTGCGATTTATTGCGCGGCCGAAGGCGCGTAAAATTCCGACGCATATCTCATCTTCCATTCCTCATCTCAGCAATCCAAGACGCGACCCATCATGGAACGCTCCGCTACTCGTCGTCGAACCAGCCAGAGACCATCGCTTCGAAATCGGCGTCGTCGTCTTCGGGTCTTTTTTCTAAGAATCACAACAGCTCGCACTCATTCGCGTGCTTGCGATCTACCTTGTTTCTTTGACGCGTTTCGCGGCTGGCGCGTGGACGCCTTCCGAGTTGATCGTTTGGTCGTCGCGTTTGGTTGCCCGAACGATTGGAGGCAGCGCTTGATGTCGGGGCGGAGTGCATTCGTCGCACATCTACGTCTTGGTTGTCGACTGTATCAAGGCGATAGGGGCGCGTCACCGGAGCCGATCGGCTTCACTTAGCGTCACGTCGTTGCGATGAGTGGAGTAGCACGATAAGAGGAGCTCGACAACGTCCTTGTGGCCACAAAGCTGCACATGCCATTAGTAGCGGCACGGGAAGAATGGCGCGGACACTGGCATAGTAGATCGGAAGGTTGTCGAAGGCGTCGCGCTCACTCCACGCACTGACGCCATCCTGTAGCCGGGACTTGACGACATCAAGTTGTCCGAGCTTGCATGCGACCCAGATGGTCGGCGTCGCTCGCGGTGCAACGTCCCGGGGTGCCAGAAAGGCCAGAAGCGGCGCCGTGTCGGCGATACAAATGCCCTACACGTGTAGTGTGAGTAGTTGTGGAGACGACTCGAGTCGCCACCGTGGTGGAGGCCTCGCACGCACAGCCAAAACGCTGCAAGCTACCGAGAAGATCGTCGACGGCAATGCATAGCCCATACTCGCGCGTCAGCATCGTCGCGATCTCGGCCAGCGGGATCGTGCCCCGGTGGTCCTAGTGACATTTTCGTGCTGCATCGACTCTGTGCGTATATCGTGCTACCGATGCGCATCGCGCCAATGCCAGTGCGAGACGCTCGGTGTTCAAGACATTCGGGTCGTCGTTGTGCTGTCTGAGCAGGAGCCGGCGCCGGTAGACGTGGGCAGACGCACCGCTGCCCATGCTATTGAGACTATACTTAGTCGCCAATCGGCACTCGGTACCATGTACATGTACTACTGCACTAAGGCAAGCGCGGCGTGGTGTTCTACGTCCGGGCAGTATAGGAAGGCCGTTGAAGAGCAGACTGGACACATGGTCGTCACGCTTGAACTAAAAGACGATGTCGATTAGCGCGCCTTGATGACGTGGCAACGCACCCTGCAACGTAAATCGGTTTGTGCAACCGCCTAAGTATTCCGGCTACACCAACCGGCCTTAAAACTTGGTCCCAGGGTTAGTCCTATAGGTTGCTTTCGTTTCAGCAATTTTTGTTTCAAGCTTGTAGACTGACACTAGCATAGCTACCACATGTATGAATGTGTTTCGCGTTCTCTTCGTTGTTACAACGACTTTACATGGGTACTAGTAGGGACTAGCAATCTGCTAGTCTCCTTCTTCATTCGAGCGCCGGGCTGTGGCTGCGTAGGCGGCTTATCTTGCTCTTCTGTCGTCGACCTTGCGGCCGTGAGTGAGGCCCATGACGACGCGCTCCGTTAAGTCCTCCAGGCGACGAGATAACTTCTCACTGCACATAGGCTTGCATAGAGAAAAGCGAGTCCGAGTCGTTGTATGGTAGAGGTCAGGAGGTTAGGAGGTTAAAAGGATGTTTGACTGGGGCTAGAGGCTCCATGTCCACGAGACCCAAGGGAATAATCTCGCTTGACGAGACCCGCTCGTTGGTGGTCTTCGGCGAACGGTTTTTACTGGCTTCTATTTCGCGTCGCAGGAAACAAATGCAATTGTAGGAGGACCAAGGACATGCGTCGGATGAACTCTACGACCTGTTAAAACGAATGGTTTCTAATGCGAGTTTGGAATCATATTGGTACCCGTCGTCAATTGAAAGCAAAGGTATATTGAGGAATCCTACAATATATTGTTCGCCTTGTAGCCACCAAACGTGAGCAGGTGTCGACAGGAACGGGGATCTCGTGCCCCATGCGTCGCTGGACGTCCAGCAAGGGTATATAATGGATGCATCTATTGCACACCAGGCAGCAATGCTCGTCTCTACCGACGCCATGTCGCTTCAAGACCCCGGCGCTCTCCTTGCTTGAACATCCCTTGGGCACGCGGTACCATACTACTTGTCGTTGGTGCTCCTCTTTAAGTCCTCGTAGTATGCACAATACGTCGACTGATACCGGTACCGGTAATAGCGCCGCCCAATGATGAACCTGGATGCCATGTGTTGCACCATGGTCTCCTCCGTGACGTCAGATCCCACGTCCACGTTATGCATGGAGCCGGGAGGGTAGTACCGGTATGTACGAGGACTCCTTGTCTCCTACCATGTCTGGGCATCAAGCTCGCTGCACGTTATATACATTCGAGGAGAACTAGGCAATATCTTGCATCGATTTCGTGTGAGTTTTTGGCGCTGCCTGTGGTTTGCGCGCCTGTCAGCTTGTCGTACCTTCAACGATCCAAGATTCGTGCCGAATCTTGCACTTTACTCGGCGCAGGGTACGTCTGGGCGCGAACCCATCATCCCACCACCTGGTCACACGACAGATCGGTTGTCAGCGCCTGCGAGAAGACACCACTTTTGATTTTTCCAAGCCCACGGCATGATGACGTTTGACAGTGCGACCCTCGGCAGTGCAGAGGCGCTACTCCTTCTCTCCAACAACCTCCTTCTGCTTGGCCCGCTCGTCTTCTCGCTCGGTGCCATGGTCGTGCGCGCGTCGCTCTGTTCCCAAGTCGTCTTGCTCCACTGCGACGCCGACAGTATTGTCTAGCGTTTTGTTATGCGCTTCTTTGTCTCAATGTACTCAGCGTTATCGTCCGTGTTTTCTACCGTGTCTGCCCGAAAGGGAGCTCGATGCCCTTGCTGCCCACGCGTGTAGTACATTGTATGAGCGAGCTCTGGCCTGAAGCCGATGAGCAGCAAGAAGCACGAAGCCCTCATCGCGCCGTCGTCCCGCGAAGGCGCCAGAAGAGAAAAGTCGGCCGAGTGCTACGATCCAACTGGATTCAAAACCGTAGAGACACGCTCGAACCGTTCGTAACCGCTGAGCCCCAATATTGAACTATTGTGAATGGCACCATTTGGTCATGATGTTATCTCACGTGTTGGTGCGCTAGTCCTTCTAGCCATCCTACGCCTCCTACCACCGACCACTGTGTCCTCGTCGCCTCGTCGATCGATTGGCAGAGACAACGACGAGGGTTGAGATCATCGCGGGCGAGGCAGGATGATGATGATGATGATGATGGTGCAGCGGAAAACTATTAACGTTAGGGTAGACTCAACAGTGGTATGGCACCCATGCCTTCATGCACAGCCGATGCAGGTGACGCACGTCGCTCCGTCGCTGGCCCAGCGCGTTGGTTCTTGCGGGTTATGCCCTCTGGTCCCGCTGTCTGCGACCTCGATCGAAGCGACCATGCATTGCCAACGGCTCTGGCGCGGAAAGCGATTCGTTTCTAAGCCGTCGGTGGAAGGCCGACAGGACGAGAAAGAAGCATCTGCACCGATGTATCCATCGCGCGCATGTTGACGCTGGCCACGTCTCTTGGTACCGGTACCAGAGTGGACGCAGCGAGCCACTTTCTGTATGCCGATCGAAGCCAGCACCGACGCGTCGGCCCTGCTCTTCGTCGTAGCGCTCTCGAGCAACTTGCTCGTACTCGGTCCGCTCGTCGTCTCGCTCGGCATGATGGTCCTCCGCGCGTCCATTTGCTCCCAAGTCGTCTTGCTCCAGTACTACGACGCCGACAGTATCGTCTAGCAGCTTGGTCGACCTAGTTACGTTCACGTCTGCGTTTGGTCGATGCCCGTATACTTTGCACCGTCGCGACGACCCAGACCCATCTACCCTTGTTCCTGGGCTTCACTTAATGCATCGTCAGGTATTCGCTTCTCTTTCCTGAGGCAGGGACCTCCACGTCCTCGCACCGTCGGTGCCATGGCTCGTTCATCGACAGCGCAGGGTTCTCCACCGATCAAGAACCATGGCTCCTCTCACTCGCGTCGGCAGAGGCGACGCCTTCTTATCAAGCGGCCGCGGTGACCACGTCGCAGGTCGCAGGTCGACATCGTGGTAGTGGCAGATCGCCGTAAACGAGTCCGTGGGCGGCTGCTGCATCAGCGTCAACTGTCATCGCTACGACCACGAGTGACGGAGACGACCCATCGACGTTGAGACGCCCTCCGTGCAGAGCGCTTCGTCGACCAAAAGGGTCGATCGCATGCCAAAGAGAGACGCGCCTCGCCTTGTACGAGACGCGGGTGGTGTTGTGCAAGGCGCAAGATGGTAGGCAACAAGCATGTGCTTATGTGTCAGTCTTACCCGCGCAGCGACTGGATGTACTTGCGGACCGCGTCGGCGCCGTGCTGCGCGACGGTGAGCTTGTGCTGCGACGCATCGCTCCACGTGAGGACGTCGAGATCCCGTGCGTACAGCACGACGGCCGCAAATTCCTACAAAACGAGGAAAACGATGAAAAATATGAAAAAGTGAAAAATGCCAAAAATTGAAACATCAAAAGCATGGTTCACACTGCGTACCTCCGAGAGCGTAAAGCCTTCGAGGAGCTCGCCTGGCACAAACTGGATCCGGTTGCGTTCGCGTTGCCAGAGGTACAGTTGGTCGGCAATGTTTTCCGGGATCACGGGCGTGTTTTGCACCATCTTGGGGTGCGCGTGCTGCATCAAAAAGTCGTAAATCTACACGACAATATTGTCCATTTCCCAAAACCAACCACAAGAACGGAACCTGCTCGGCCGAAATGCCGTGGATGAGCGCCGACCGAATGCTCTCGCGTGTCAAGAAGCCCACCGCCATGTTCTTGAGCCGAACCTACGCGAGGTATCAGGTTGTGCATGGACAATAATAATGTCTTGAGATGCACGTACAACAATGTCCACAAACACACTCAGCATCGCAATGTGTAGGCTCGACGACGTGTACGCATAGACCTTGAAGTTGGTCTCGACAATGATGCTGAGGTGCGACGCCGACGCGCCGCCGGCCTCGCTCGGACCCTTGGGGACGGTCTATGTATGCATCGATATCCGTCGTGAGCCTGAGATGACGACGAAGCGAGCTACCGCGGCCTGATGAAAGCTCTCAAGCGACTGGTTCATTTGAATCGCGGGCGCGTCTGGCCCGCGAGCCCGCCAAAGATGAGGTTGACGGCCAAGCTCGTCGTGTAAAAGCTACGCCATACATTGATCTGCGGTTTGATCGTCGACATTGATGAAGGTACCGTGTCGCGCGCGAGTTGCTGCGGTACAAGAGACCGAGCTCGACGAGGTCCCCGAGGAGCTGCTGCTG